ATATATATATAATGTATTTTTCAATTACTTTTCATGATTGTCTACTGTTGTACTGATAAAGAATACCTGGAGGGTAAACTATATCTTGGCTGCAAGTATCAAGCTGCAAAATCCTTCATTTTCTACAGCTGACAGTGGTTGGTCATTAATTACGATGAAGTTTAAAAACTTCTCGGTAAACATTCGAGCTCTGGGGCTTCAGTGGTCTGTTAATTTTGTTCAGTCCAGAGAAGGCATTCTGATTTCAGTCAGCCGTGCTCAGTCTGCCCCTCCTCCGAGACAGGCAGACTGAGCACGGCTGGCTCAAATCAGAATGCCTTCTCTGGACTGAATGAAAATAACAGACCACTGAAGCCCCGGAGCTCGAATGTCCAACGTAAAACTAACTTTACCGCGGTTTAATGTGGTGCTATGGCTCTGCAGACATTGCACTTTGCTGTCTTGCTTTGTGGTGTTTCTAGTGTAAAATACTTCCACACAACGGACAGGTTTAGATAAAAAATTGGCTAACTGTTAGCCACATTGCTACTGCACGTTTTAGCTGGCTGCAAACTATGAACTGGATTTCCTGAATGTGAGGTGGGTCTTATTACTCTGGGTTCATGACACGCCTCCGTTCAGGAAATCCATTCAATAGTTTGAAGCCAACATGCAGACCTTCCAGCAGAGAATCACTTGTGGAGATGTTTCAGCAGACACAGACATGCATTATGAATCGGAAATCTCTGCAGGTTGGATTGGAAAAATCCAATACGTAAATTATGCTAGTATCGGAGGCCGATACCGATACTGGATCGGATCGGCCCCATCCCTAGTCTGCACCACTAGGTTAGACCTGCTCTTAAAACGTGACAGATGCCCAGTCCAATAAAATAACCCAGCAGGTGGATGAATTGGGCTGAGCACCTGGCCCAAGAAGCAGCTAGGACAGCCCGGTGGGTTCGAGCATAGATTGAGGAGTCTGTCATCCAGTGGGGTGGATTACAGATCTAACTTGTCCAGAGACAAGGACACTGCAGCCTGGAGGTAGAGATTCTGCCCTCTCCTCTTCTAATGGAGACGGAGGAGAGAAGGAGGTCTCAGCTCCAAGGGAGCTGCCTGGCTTTTCAGCCTGCTTCTTCCTCCTCCCTGCCGCGAGGGACTGATGTATAGAGCACAAAATGTCATTTCAGCTCTCTGCCTCCGGCTGCACTCGCGGCCACGCGCACTTCTCCGCTCTGCATGGAGATCAGCTGATCAGCTGCAGGAGGAAGCTTCTCCCAAAGCTGTGGGCTGCACACAGGTGCTAAATCACTTAAAATAATGTATTTAAACTAAAAATCCCTCGCCAATCATGTGGCTCATCAATCAATCAACCATTGTGTGTCATGTCCAATTTTACTTTGAAAAACCATGATAGTGCGAGTATGCAAAAAACCAAGTGTGAAGTAGTGAAGGACTACTGTATTTGTAATTTCCTTGACAAGAGACAATGAAACTCAAAAAAACAAAGAAAGGCAGTCTTGGACTTATATCTATAATTTTCTTTATGTCTTGGTCAGTGAAATGTGGTAGTCTATAAAAAATTAAACATATTATTTTTGGTTTAAAAAAACCAACCAATTATCAAAATTGCAGCTGACATTTTTTTCTTCAAGACATTTACTTTCTCTTGACTAGTTAAACTTTAAAGAGTTCTTAAGATCTAAAATACATTCTTCAATTATGTGTTCCTGATGTCAACTTTGAAAAGCTAATTTTAAACTAAAAACCAACAAAGCAATTCGCCATGTACTGAACATAACTAATATAACTGTTTTACATTTCTTTTTGACTTTCAACCATTTCCAGTTTATTAATTTATTAATTTCCTGTAAATGACGCAGCGTTTGCTCACTTTATGCTCTAATGACTGAGACAAAGCTCAGGCAACGTGATATAGAGACTCTACATTGCATTTTATGGCTTCAGTTACAGAAATTAAACAAGAAACCAATATATTTTCTTTTTTTTTTTTTTGGGGGGGGGGGGGGGTGTCACCACTGCAGATCATCTGCCTCTAAATACAGTTTTCACCAGAACCCAGCTGGATAACAGCACTGGAGGTGGCGATTGTTTGAACCGGTACAAGAGATACACAGAAAATGCCTATCCAAGGGTTGAATTGTTTTTTGTTGTATGAAGTATTTTTGTACAATAAAGTGTTTTGTACTTGCAATGTTATTTTAAACATTTCTTGCTACAACAAAAAGCATGTGTCTGAACGTCAGAGTAAAAAACTGTAGCATTACATTTTACTTTATTTTTTTGAACAGACTTCAGCTAAAACTTCAGCTCAGACTTCTGCCACAACAAGAAAAACAGTTCAATTCTGTCTTTTATAGCTCTTAACCCTTCCAGATTACACCACCTATAAATAAATAAACAAATAAAATATAAAATACTCCAGTAAACATAACAAAATATGATCAATTTAAATTTCAAAGAATTATTCACTTTAGCCTGTTTACATTGTTTCCAACACAAAATTAGAAGTGTTTTTTTTTTTTTTTTTTTTAAAGCTTGAAGACTTTTAACATTTCCAACAGAAATGATTGGTTCTGGCATGACAACGTAAACACAGTTTGGGCATATAGTGTACAATCCACTGTCGAACAGCTTTGCTGTTTATTTACCTCTGCTTGTGGAAGGTTAATTAACTGAATCTTGAAGTTGTTAAAGAATAAATTTAAACTTGAACTGAATTAGCTGCTATTTCTGTCACCCTGATCAAAATGCAAAGATATTGTGACTTTTCTAGCTTTGCCAAATTTACCTCATTCTTACTCACACAGGCCCCCAGGAGCAGCTTCAGGTCCCACACACACACAAATAATTATACCCGGAAGCTGCAAACTCCTCATATGGGTCATTAGTCTGCCATGGAACTATTCCACAGAAGCAATGCAGTCACTTTTAGGCAGTGATATCGCTCACACAAAAATTGCAAATCAGCGACAAGTAGGTAACAGGTGGAAGTGTTTACACAAGCAGTAAGCAGGGATATTCATGTGGCACTTAACAATGTATTTTATTTTTATTTATTGGACATATTTCGCTCTTTTTTTAACATATACTTTATGAAAAGTCAACAAGAAGAGCAGTGTAGCATGCATCACATTTCAATTGCAGGCATTTATTCACAGTTAATGTCCTCAAACTATGTACATTACGGCAAATTAAATATAAATGTCAGATTCATTTATAAAATTCCAAAAATGCAGATATTGGCATCATCACATTGAACAGAGTTGTTTTTTTTCTTTAGCACACATTCCAATCAAGAGTAAGAGATGTATTTATTTGTAGTAATACTGCAATGAACACTGATGTGATATCTTTAGAATTTGCAGTTTTTTCCATCATTGAAACATAAGGTAGACACACGATGAATAGCAGTTTGCAACTTGCATGTGTGTGGCTATACACAGATGGCTCCATATGTAACGAGCACAATGATTTTAGAGAACAATGTTGCTGTTTTATTCTTTCCTTATTTATTTCCTCCCTTCCACGTTGATACAGACTTTTCTTGTTTTTACATTCAGTTATCTGGAGAGCAGAAAAGTTCACACACAGGGCCAACATGCCTTCCAAGAAACACTGCCAGGTTGTTTGTGGTAGTTTTCTGCTGTAGCTCCAAAATCCAATCGTAATTTCTCATGTGGTGCATTTTCCTTAACAGGATGAGGTATTTGCCTGTAGAGATGACCTAACCCTTATTTTCCATTCTTTTCTCAGTCTGATCAGTAGGAGATACTGCAGCTTAGCAGTGCAGGATTTTAATGAACGCCTTTCTGAACTCAATATTAAAGGTGGTGTATATGATGGGATTTACAGCACTATTCACGTAGCCCAGCCAAGTGAATGCATTGTACATCTCGGCAGGGACTTTGCATTTGGTGCAGTGGGTGTTCAAGATATGTGTGATGAAAAATGGCAGCCAACAGATGATGAATACACCTGAGAAGATAAGAGGAGAAAAAAAAGTTTAAGTGGGGAAAAGAGGGGAAAGAGGCACAAAAACAAAAGTCTTGCTCTATATAAGACATAATTTGGGTGGCAATAGGAGTACTGCAGTGGTGGAGAAAGTATTCAAACATTGTGCTTAAGTAAAAGTACAAATAAACAGACAAAAATGTACTCTAGTAAAAGTAGAAGTACCACATTAACCTTTTTACTTAAGTAAAAGTAAATAAGTACTTGCTTTTAAAAATACTTAAAGTATTAAAAGTAAAAGTACTTGCTGAATGTATTATCTAATGCAATGGTCTACATATCTTTAAGTCTGCCTACCATATGTATATTTTCTGTAATACATTAATAGTGTTGAGCCATTTTAATGAACAATGCTGCAGATTATACATGTTTTTATTGTTTACTCTGTGACACAGGTCACACTTGGACTTGTGATTCTGTGCGTCGGAATTTCAGGGATAACCTGCAGAGTTAAATGTCATTAAGCAAAATAAGAAAGCGGAATGATTATACCTTTGAAAGCTTTTATTTAACACAAATCAAAACCAATATGTCATTTTAACTGCAGTAAACACATTTAAGTAAAAGTTATCTGGTGAAAAATGGAGCATTAGAAACAACTAACAAAGAAATAGGCACTGATCATTTCAACTCGTTTGTCATCAACTCTAGTTAAATACTGTCTAGTCAACCTTATAATGGGTCAATAGTTAACGATATTTTAACTTCCTGACACCATTTTCAAAACTTGGACCCTAGTGTCAAGTCATTTGGAGACATCTCTCTTCTCCTGTTCTAACATCCAATGAACTGAAACATTTTAATATTGCAGCAAGAATTTCTTGTTCAAGTTCAGAAGAAGTTGGTTTTCAAAGTTTTTAAAGTCCAGTCTGGCTCTTTTGGGAGAGAGAATCTGTCCTGCTGTACTGAATAATCTTTAAATAGTCTTTCAATAGTCTTTCAATAGTCTTTCTATAGACTTTCAATAGTATTTCAATAAGGCCATGGGTGGCACGTACTGTATCTTCTGGCTGACTATCCTCGGTGGAATCCATTTTGGGTGTGTTAGCGGTGCTGTGGGTGCGCCCAGCTCAGTGACATATAGAATATAGCTCTTCTTGAAAGTGGGTCTAACGTTACCTGCCCATTTTGCAGTGATTCAATGGACCAACTCCCCTCTCGCCATTGGTTACTTTCAAATTAACGAACGTGCAACGTGAATGTAACTTGTAACACAACGCATTATAGAAATGTAGTGTAATAGAAAGTACAGATACTTAATGTAAAATGTAGTGGAGTAAAAGTAAAAAGTAACCATGTTTAACTCTACTTCAGTAAAGTACAGATACATAAAAAGTGTACTTAAGTACAGTAATGTAGTACTTGCACTTAGTTACATCCCACCACTGGAGTACTGTAATTTCTGGTGTAAAAGCCACTACATTTTTTTTTCTCATGCTTTGGATTCCACAGCTTGTAGAAAGGAGCAGTTGATTTTTGTATTCATTTACTATTTCAATATTTATTTTAAAGGTTTATTTTGACAGGTTGCCAAGCTTCCTGCCACTGAATAACATTTTCCTTTGACATTACTGGGAGCTCATGTATCTGCTCAACACCTACCCCTCTTGGGAGTAGGTTTTTTTGAGACATAAACAGAGTGAATGTCACAGGTAATCATGACATGTACTTCTCGCTCATTTTTCAATTTTGTTACTAAATACCCATAATCCCACTCTGTGGCCATGTGACCAGAAGTCACCCTAATGACCAGTGAGATACCGTACTCTCATTGAGTCACGAGAACACACCCCCATGATAGAAGTGCATTGATCAAATTTCCTGTTTAAAAATCTGCTGGCTCGTTAGATGTTAACTGACTACTTAAATGACTACTTTTATGGATATTAACATCCATACATCCACCCATCCATCTGTCCATCGATCAGGGCAGAACAGCTCTGTCACCTCTAGACTGCAGAAGCAGTTTCACTTTCACTAAAGCGGAACATTTCATTAGACTTTATTTTTTAACCAGTTGTGTTAAAGGCATTGTTCAGAAAGATAAAAGCATATATTGTACTGTATGTAGCCTATTTTTGCATATGTTACTGGTACATATCTAAAAAAAAAGTTAAAAAAAAATCTTTCTGTCTACAGTAAATAGTAAAGTAGAGAGAAAGGGAGGGGGTGTTCCCCCTTGCCCTGGTAGTCATGACTCATGTGCCGGTAAAAAAAAAGAAGAAAATGTTCGTAAGCTCAATCATCTAGGTAAATAAATACTAAAAAGGTTAAATAATTTCATCTGGACAAGTTTCTTTTTTGGGGTAATCATGATTCAGCGAACGGATCATCATGAAAACCTGTGACGATCACGAAGTCTGTTGTGTTGAAAAGCAAACTAAAGTCCATGAAACGTCATCTGGTGTTTGATTCTTGTACTACAAGAAGAGCTGCACGTTCTACCAGGAACTGTGTACAGTTTCTGAAATAAATTGTAGACACCTGTGTCTTTTTCATTCAACCTTTATTTAGACAGGTAATCCCATTGAGCCTTCTTGAACACCAGTGTGTCTTATTTATGTAAAATATTGTGTTTCAATTTAATTTATTATACGTGGCTTACAGACAGGTGCATTCTATAGACCGACAATTACAATTATCAGGTCTCTCTTGTAAATGAGTCCTCGAGGCTCAATGGGATTTACCTGTATAAATAAAGGTTGATTGATTACGGTATAAAATAGTTTTTGTTTCTTGCATCACCATTTTGAACGTTTCCAAAAATTTGAATTGAACACAAAATACCTCAAACAGGCAACGAGTTACTTGAGAATTGAATAAAAGTAGTAATTCGCATTTCAAGAAAGTCTTGTTGGTAATCTAGTATCAGGTTTCTGGACATTAATATTTGTTCTTTGGTTTGATACTAGGATAATTACTTGATGTTACACATGCTCAAAGCCAAAAACACAGCATAACTTTTCCCAAGATGTGAAAAGTTTGTACAAAATGGGAAGTTTGAAATAATTTTAAGTAAGAAGTAACATACCAAGAACGATGGCTAACATCTGAGTAGCTTTCTTTTCCTTTTGTTGGGACAGCTTCCTCTTGCTCATGCTTTTGACAGAAGTCTGAGTCTTGCCATTAGGTAAGGCCTGTGTCTGGAAGGATTTGGCTACAATGGGTGCTGGCTCAGACAGGGCCTCCTTGGGCTCGCCATTCTTCTCTGCTTTGTGGCTCTCCTCAGGGGGTGTGGGAGGTGTGGAAGAGGGACTAGCATTGGCTTTGTCAGGCATTAGCTGCTGGTGGCTGGTGGCCGGAGTGTCTCCAAGAACACTCTGTGTCTGCTGCCTCTGCTTCTGGCTGCTGCCACTGTTGTTCAGCTCATCTAGCTCCAAATCTTCCCCCTCAGTGGCCACGTCTTTGATAAATATCTGAACAAAGATAGGATCAGCAGCAAAACATCGAGTCAGATGCTTACTTTTAATTTAGCCTAAAAAAATAAAAAAAGAGTACCACCTCAGAAAATACAGACTCTCCAGGTCCCCCTTGTGAACAACACTAAAAACAGTAGTACAAGCCTATATTCATATCTGACATCAAATGACAAACTGGTCTAAGCCCTAACCCTGCTGGAGTGTGGTCTAAGATGGGATGGTGCCAGATTACAGAAGTTCTCAAAGTGTTCCCCATTTCATTTTTATTTCCACTTAGCGCAAAAATCATAATTCGCTTGAAACACTCATCTTCACGGTTGTTTCTGTCTTTTTAGATTTGCATCATAGTTCTTGTTATACCTACTGTGGCCAAGCTTTAGAGTTAAGAATCGTTAATTAGCTTGTTATTTCACTTGTAAATAGATGTTTTTAAATTTCTTCAGTGTACCACTACAGGGATCCTGAGTACCACCAGTGATACTTGAGAAACATGATGTTAAAAAGTAACATTTAAAATTATAGCTATAAGCTGCCTGATTCAAACACTGAGCTGCTGTCATCAACACCAAACTTATAATTGTTTTATTGTTCTGCATAATAAAAGGGGCTCAAGACTTTGGCTGCTTAACTGCATTTTGGCATTTTGCACTCACTTTTTGAAACAAGAGTTCATATGAGCAGTGCTCCTTATTAGAATCAGAATAAGCGTTATTGTATTGCACAGTGGACTTGCGACCCGTCCAGGGTGTACCCCGCCCCTCGCACAGTGATTGCTGGACATGGGCACCAGTGACCCCCGTGACCCAAAAATGGAATAAGCGGGTAAAGAAAATGGATGGATGGATGGGTATTGCACAGTTAATTACAGTGAAAATACGTTCCATACAGCTGTCCTAAAGATGGACGAAGGTGTACAGGGGCTGCAGCTTCTAAAGATCACTGCCCTTATAGCTTAGATAGAAAAAAGGAAGACACATAAGGAGAGAGCGGTATAAAAAAAGATCTCTCACACCGTGTCCTTAACAGGGCACGGTTTAAGTATCAAAAAAATCTATTACAGCTAGCAATATAGATAGACACAATACATATGCATGGACGACAAGACAGTGAGATTTGTCCATGAACACTTCCAGAAAGTTTCCATAGTCCTGGTAAGCTGTTACAGTGTCTCTCAGCCGGTACAGCTCTGATAAGCGTCCACATACGTTCTTGGGGGTGGGGGGTGCAGGGAGTGGACAGAGCAAAGCTTCTTTATTTAAATATCCACCAGGAGCAATTTGAGATAAGTTGGCCTTTCAAGGCTGAGTGAGGAGGCCAGATTCAGATAAACAACAATTGTTTGGGCAGGCCTTCAGTTCTGCTGGAATTCTCAATGGTGAATCCAAACAGCCAGATTTGTGGACATTCTGCATGAGTCTAAGAGCTCGAAGCATGAAATAATCCATCACATGAGGTTGACAGCTTTACTATGGCCAAAACTGCTGCCGACGTCTTCCTAACTTGTCGATAGGCATCCGCCAATTCAAAAAGCAGAAACCCTGTTATCATAAATCCAATTATATACACGTCTTATCCATGACATACCCAGATGTGCGTCCGCTGGGCATGAGGGCTCTCCAGCACCATGTCTCTTGAAAAAAAAATTATCAATTGCGTTGAGAGACCAGATGACCAGATCCATAATAATAATTTACATTTTGGAAGATGTGTAAAGAGAGGCTCTGATACACAGGACAAAGAGCAAAAGCAGGAGGAAGGCAGGAGAGGGAAGAAATTCTTCCGTCTTGTTCGAGGACAAGTGAGGAAAAAAAGGATGTCTCTTTTCCTGCACGTTTGTTCATTAAAAATATTGGGACAAATATCATGAGCAAATGAATGTCTTTGTGTTTGCAAATGTGTCCTGTGCCAATAACACTGTCAGATGTTCTGCTGTCTGAACACCAGTAAGTAGCGTAATGTGCCTATCTGTATCTCTCTATGCTTATTACTACTTTGAACATTACATGCAAATTAAACAATCACACTCTCCTATAACAAGTCAAAACTGTCTTTCTAAAGACCATAACTTGTAATGATCTTGTCTACAAGGTAAATTATTTTTAATAAGACAACTATATTTGTCTGAACAAGTGGCATAATCTATGTAAATAAACGCAGCATGCTACTCTGCCTGTCCTATTCATTGACATTTACAGGGAAAACCAATTTACTGATTTGACAGTAAAAATTAAATGCAAAATATTTTAAATACATTAATAGCTGTCATTCATTTCATAGGAGAGGTGCAAAAATTGACTTTTACATACAACCTCTTTGCAGTGCAAAAAGGTAACAGATGCCACTCTACAATTTACATCTATATTAATAAAAGATAAGATAAGATACAACTCATATCATATTAATATAGATGTATTTAATTATATTAACTGGATGACCAATTAACGTTAAGGTAAAAAAAAAAACAGAATTATTTGTAATCAGCGATATCAAAAAGCTGCTTCGCTGCATACATGAAAAGTAACAAAATATTTGGCCTTTTTCATAAATTATAACTTTATAAATTATAACATAACTGCAATTAACTTGGCATATTTTCATTAAAATGGAACAAATGTTTTTGTTGTTTTTTGTGGCATTTTCATCTAAATTATTCATTCATTGGTGATACATATCTATTTAAGGGATTCTAGTATATTTTAGACTGAGTACAAGTATTGTCAAGCTCACTGTGGGGTTGGTTGGACCCAAGATGCAGGCAGACATGGAAGGACTTAAAGTAAATTGAAAACTGATTTAATTTACATGAACAAAAACAAATGACCAATGTGTCAGCAACAAACATACAAACCTCAGGAGGGAAAAACACAGGGAGGCACAAGAAGGAGCGAGACATCTGAACGTTTCAGCGCAATGAGCTGCTGGAGTGGTTGTGACTACGGACTGGTAATATAAAAACTGAGGGAGGGAGGAAAGAGGAAACACCTGGATTGCTTGCTGATTAGGGATAGGTGAGGGTACTGACTAACGGGAAAAATACTAAGGAAGCTGACTAAGGGTAAATGAGATATGCCACTGGAAATGGTATGCGCTTTGTGGATTTCATGTCTGCCTTCAATACCACAATCCCCAAACTCTGATGGACAAACTATTCACACTAGGACTAAGCCCCTCCATTTGCAACTGGGTCCTACACTTCTTAACAAACAGACCACAGTCTGTGAGGATCCACAACTTCTCCTCATCCACCATAACCCTCAGCACTGGCTCCCCTCAGGGCTGTGTGTTGAACCCTCTCCTATTCACGCTGTTCACATATGATTGTGCAGCTACCCATCCAGGCTGTCATACTGTAAAGTTTGCAGACGATACAGCGGTGGTGGAATGCATCACAATCACAAACAACGATGAGTCCAGCTACAGGCAAGAGGTGGAACACCTGGAAAGATGGTGCAAGGAGAATAACCTTCACATCAATGTGATAAAGATGAAGGAGATGGTCATGGACTTCAGAAGGAACAAGCACATCCCCCGGAACATAGGAAGATCTGCGGTGGAAGACGTCTCCAGCTACAAGTACTTGGGTGTACACATGAATGACAACCTCAGCTGGAGCAACAACACTACCAGCCTGATCAAGAAAGCTCATCAGAGACTCTACTTCCTCAGGCGGCTGAGACGAGCTGGTCTGGGTCTCAGTCCTCACCTCCTTCTACAGGTGTGCAGCGGAGAGCATCCTGTGCTCCAGCATCAACGTGTGGCATGGAGGCTGCACAGCTGCAGAAAGAAAAGCTTTGCAGAGAGTGGTGAAGGCTGCACAGAAGACTGTTTGAGTCTGTCTCCCCACCATCACAGATATCTACACTTCTAGATGCAGGAAGAGGGTCACCTGCATCACGAAGGAACACACTCACCCAGCACACACACTTTTTGTCCCACTCCCCTCAGGAAGGAGTTTAAGGAGCATTAAGTGTAGAACAACTAGACTGAGGAACAGCTTCTACCCTGAGGCTGTTAGACTCATGCATCTCTAACCAGAATAATCACTGTGAAAAATCACATCATGTTGCTGCTGATCTGTTTCATGTTGCTGCTGATCTGTGCTGATCTGTTTCATGTTGCTGTGTTCATTCGTACTCATCTGCTCACACAGACTCATGTCCGTGCTGCTGTTTGCAGAGAGTGGTGAAGGCTGCACAGAAATCTGTTGGAATCAGCCTCCCCACCATCACAGACATCTACACCTACAGATGCAGGAAGAGGGCTACCTGCATCATGAAGGACCCCACTCACCCAGCACACACACTTTTTGCCCCGCTCCCCTCAGGAAGGAGGTTGAGGAGCATTAAGTGTAGAACCACTAGACTGAGGAACAGCTTCTACCCTGAGGCTGTTAGACTCATGAATCTCTAACTAGAATAATCACTGTGAAAAACCACATCATGTTGCTGCTGATCTGTTTCAATGTTGATGTGTTCATGCATGCACATCTGCTCACAGACTCATGTTCATGTTTGTGCTGATGTTCAATGTTTTTATGTTATGAGTGCTTAGTGTATATTTAGTTGATGTTTTTCTTAGTTCATATCTTAGATGTTATTACTGTTTTTCTTATACATTTTATTGTTGGATGTAACTGGGACCCTGTGTACATAATTTTGCTCCACCACATGTACCACATGAGGTGCGAATGACAATAAAGAAACTCTGACTCTGACTCTGTTCGGTGTATTGTTTTTATGCTTCATTAATGCTATTTCTGCTTAGTATATGTTTATTAACATTTTTATTAGTTCATATCTTAGATCCTATTACTGTTTTTCTTTTACATATTAATACTTTTGTTGGTTGTAACTGGGACCCGGTGTACACAATTTCATCCCACCACATGTCATTTGGAATGACAAAAAAAGAACCTTGAATCCTTGAAAACACAATGATAAATCTAAATATGATTAACAGAAACACAAGTGGATAAGTATCTAAACTAACAAGGAACATAAAAATAACAGAAGTTCTCAAAGGATCTAACAAATAAACTACTACACTAAGTCCTAAAGTACTTCAGTTGCAGATACTGCATACCAATACAGAGTAGTTAATGAATTAGTATTTACATGTTACACAATGACGTTAGAAACACATTTTGTTATTCGGAAAACGGTCTGCTGTGTTTATCTTAAAATTCTCTAAACTGTGGACATTTTTGTTGTTGTCCCCAGTTACTTGCAAAGTGGAAGAGCAAATAACGTTACTAAGCATAAAGGGGTATTGAAGCGGTTGAAAGGATCTGGTGTTTTTATGAGTACAAGTACGAGTACTTGAGGATACTTATGGTATCAGGACCCCTCTGGTTCAAGCACTAAAGCTGCTGGTGAAAAAAAGGTAGTTTACATACAAAGCTTAATATTTCAATTAAATGCTGTTTTTCTTTTATATTTTATTGTGGGATGTAACTGGGACCCTGTGTAAATAATCTTGTTCCATCACATGTACCACATGTGGTGCATATGACAAATAAATCTCTCTGACTCTGACTAAAGTTCATTCTCTTCTTAAGTAGACCCTACTGGTACCTAGTTGAGTATTTTAACATCAGTGTTACATGTTGAGGCTTTAATTTAGCAAGAAAACAGCATTACTATTTTAATAGGAATAAAAAAAAATACATACCACTTTCTTCTTGTTGGCAGGTAAACTTCCATTAGATTTAACAATCATGGTGCACAACCTCACATCCTCTGGATGAGTGCACTTGTCCTAAAATGGAAAAACAGCTGTGTCAGGCAAGGAGCGGGGACAATGTCAAAGCATTTGACAAAAGACAATCTAAAAACAGATGCATAGATCAGACTCCCTGTAAGGTCAAGATAAAAAAAATTACAGCCTGAAAAAATGGATCTCTTATGTAGCCATTTGATATTTTAATCTTAAACAAATTATTTCATTGTGTAAAGTAATGAGTTGACAACTGAATGCATCCAGCAATTTTGAGTAAAAGCTGAATTACTGCAAGTTCTGTTTTTTTTTTCTTAATTAAAGTAGTCATTTGTTAATATGCTTCCATTAAATTAATGAAATCACAGCATGAGGTGACACATGAATACAGGTAATTTAAATCAAGAATATTAAAAGATTCTCCATCCTAAACCCACTAATTTCCACTATGTCGTGAAAATCAATAGACTTTTAAGCAAAAAACAATTTAAGGGATGATAAAAATTATGTCAGATGATCACCTAAGAATGTGAGATATCATTTTTGTGAACATAAAATCCGTAAAAGTAAATTAAACATTACATAGAAGTGTTATTTCAGTCTCAGATCTCATAAATTGCATTTTGGAGAATAGATAAATCTGTCATATTATCATCAAAGTATTCTTTACCTAATGTGTTGATAAATTGCACAATGCATGCGCACAAACAATCACTGTTGTAAAACCATTAGGTACAATTGTGTTGAGAGTATCTGACTGCAAAGATCATTCAAAGGTCAAGGAATGTTTCTGTTTTCATCTTTACTATCCTAGCAGTGGTCCTGAGCAAAAATATTAGTGGGGTGGACATTCATTTCCTTATCTCTGTATTTATTTTTTACAACTTGCATTACATTTTCTATGAAACAAAAAAATGGACAATATGTCACTTAATATTTAATTTGTTATTGTTGTTTATGTGTGCATTTACAAAGATTTTGCCTTTATTCTTCCTCTTGCAGGTCAAGTTTGTGTTTCATGAAAACAGTCCAAAGTAATAAATCAGAGAAATGGATGCCTCCCACCCCCAGCCGACAGGCACACATATTTCTGAATTCTAATTTGATTTGAAGTATTAATTCTGAAATAATACTCCATATTACCACAGTTAAATGGGAGGAAAAAAAGGTTCAGTGAAGTAACTCTAAGACATTATAAAAGTGAAAAATGATGAGATGACATGTCCTCACCGAAACAAATGGGGCTCAAACCCACAAACACTAAGTTACCAGAACACTGCATTAACCATTGACCCACTACAGCCACACATACACAAGCCATGGAGTTGTTTAAATGTGGTATACAATGCTGGCTGAATTGTCCTGTTTTTTTACTTCTTTTTGTTCTTCTCAGTTTTCTGTTGTGGTTCCCTCTGTCTGCTCCAAATAAATTCAAAAGCAAAATATCTCCACTGTTGGTCTCAACAGGTTTCACTGCAGCTATTCCTGGGTTTTAGCTCACATCTGGTTTAGGTAGAGGTTGTATCATCGTGCTAAAACTATTCTAATGAGTCCACAGGGCAGAAAATCCGACTCCCCCAATGAAACTCTGTTGGACCTGCCTGTTCGGATCACATCAAGATCTGCTTGACACATGTGGGTAATTGAATGGCACAACCCCATAACAGTAAATAGGTGAAATATTGAAGATTAATCACTAAAAATATTTTTGAATTCCACTTAAATGTGTACAAATAGTTGAAAAATACACAGAACAGAACAATACATAGCAAGCTCAGTAAATCAGTAATTTAGATTATTTACAGTATTAGGAGGAACTACTTTGCGGGGGCAAATTATTTTGTTTGGGAGGGGCTTCGCCCCACCTGCCCATATGTACCGACCACTACTGTGTTCTATAATCAAATAGAACATCCAAATAAAGAGCTTGGATGTAAAAGAGAGGTATTTTACTCTTAGACTGGAGCCATAAAAACATGGCTGCAAACAGGAGCCATATTTCAGTAGCTGCTAACCTTCAGTGAAGTGGCTACATCGGTGTCAACAGCCTGACAGACTCGCCGCTTTGGTTTGGTGTTCACACGTTTCCTACGCTTCCTCAGGACCACATAAATTTGCACATAAACCAGCAGAGTAATGATGAAGGGCACGTAGAAGGACACGATGGAGGAGTACACCACAAAGGCTGGATTGGCGATCACGCAGAGCGTCGCGTCACGAGTAGCTGTGGAGATAAAGCACAGAGAGAAAACAAACTTATGAATGCATCATTCCTAAGAGGAGAGCTACACGTTTAGCTCAAACTAGGAGCTGCTATTTGGTTTTGGTTGCTTGAAATTCATCCAAAAATGGAATGACTTTCTACATTCTTGTCACTTACAGGTCATTCACACAGTTTTCTGTTTTTACACTTCCCATCCATTGCAATCCCATATGGAAGTCGTACCACTTATTCAGAATGCTGCCATATGGTTTGAATCAGGTGCCAGATATAACGATAAAACCACATCAATTTGACATTTTCTTCACTGGTGTTGGATCCAAACGTTATTATCATTCAGATATTGACATACCTGTCACTTACAATAGTGAAGCTCTTGTTGTAGGTTCCCTTTTTTATATTTGTCAGTGAATTCCTGATTTTTTTCAGACAATTTATAGAGCACAGTACTGCTTTACATTTCTTCTGCAATAGGTGCAAATTACTTTGCTCCAACTGAGCAGCAGACAAAAAAAAAAAAAAGGCAGCACCTGTGAGAGCCGCTCATTGCTAAAGCCCAATCCAAATAACACGTTGTGATGTTACAAACTTTGTTTCAGTGCTTAAACCAGTGCAACATGGACTTTGTCTCCTACAATCTTTAATTAGACATACTTTGTTGCAGCAAAGCAAAACAACTGTTGTCATGGTTATTTCACAGTGGTTGTGAATGTTACAATAAATCTGTAGATTTTCTAGTTTCAGTAACTTTTTGTTAAGTTACCGGTAACTAAACATTTCTCACTTAAAGAATCTAGTCCAGATGACATGATTTAACCTTTTTTGTTTTTATCTACCTGAATGATTGAGCTTACAAACCTTTTTTTTTTTTTTTTTTTTTTTAACCAACTACTTATTTTAGTTTACTTTTGTTGATTGATATAAGGGCTTCAGAATATTAAAAATAGTCATCATTGTGATTTTTATTATTTTTTTAATGTGGGAGAAACAGTCAGATGAGCATAGCTACATTTACTTTGATTTTATTATTCAAAAATGTTTAATACAAAAAAATTAAAATAAGCAACACCTTTTAAATTCTTTGAGTACGTATAACAATAACTTACTGGAGTAAATGTTAAAATACAAATAACAAACCTATTTATTTACTTAAAATTTCTCACACATTGTATTTGTTAAGCTGATGATGCTTTAGGCTCTACACACAAAAATAGTCAGGTGAAGAGAAAAGCACAGTGCACCATGTTTTTTTTTTTTTAATATTTCTAAGGTTTTCTGAATCAAAAATGATCTGTGTAGAAACAAATGTCTGCAAATCTCAATGAAATGAAGCGATGTTGGACAACAAAGGAGTCATGCGAGAGACTGAAAATCATATAGAAAATGACTATTTCAAAAAATGTCTGTTTAAACACAGCATTTTCATTTGGGCTTTGTTTTTATTAAATATGAACATGGTGGAATCTGTTGCATATTTTGTATACTTTAAACCCCCAAATTAAAAGAGGATGTACTCCCCCCCCCCCCCCCCCACACACACACACACCCCATGATTGAACATGACTGTGTTCTGTTTCAAAATGTAAACTTTCAGTGTGTTTGGATCCATTAATTAAAATATAATTTGCATGCTTTTTATAACTGTTGCACCAAAACTACCGACTGAGAGCGTGCTGCTTTTGTAATCTCTGCTTTCATGCCTTCTGTATCTCACACTGACTTCATCTTCACTCGCTGCCTGTTCGAAACGTTACATCAAGGCTCTCAAAGGGACAAGTGGAGATTCAAAGTGACAGGATGCGAGCCACAGTTAGCTGATAAGAAACAAGTTGGCACCATCCAAAAACTCTTATAAAGAACTGCTCTAAAGCTTCTGATGTAAGGCTGCTCAAAAAGCTCCTGTTTTTCAGAACAAACAACCTGATGAAAGCAGAAAAATAAAGAATAATAGTTTCCTTGATAGACACGTTTGTATTTGAAGTTGGATACAACTTCCTCTTTATAATTAGTCAAACACACACAAAAATTTGTATTTTAGTAAATCTAAAGCAAATGCTGATTAAATTTACTTACCTGTGTTATTTAGGCCAAACAACAGGGGACATGAAATGGCAAAAGAGAGTACCCACACCACAGAGATCATTACAGTGACCCGTCTCTTGGAACTGTAGCGTGTGTTGTACAGCATTGGCATGGCAACAGCTGTATACCTGTAAGACAAGAAGAAAATATGGCCGACATAGTTAGTATAATATAGGATTACATAATGCTTGTCCACAGAAAAACAGTTCAATTTTAACAAAATAGCTTTATATATTCATTGCACTTTATTTGTTATTTGATGAACCATTGGTCTAAGCCAGAACCATTTCTTTTACTTGTTCTATATTTTAATGGTTAAAACACGCAGAGAAGGGGCAGCACAGTGGTGCAGTTGGCAGAGTTGTTGCCTCTCAGTGAGCAGGTTGCTGGATCAAATCCCAGCTGGAGACCCTTATGGGTGGAACAACAAAAATGATTAAATCATGTTATTTGGACCAATTTCTTTGTGAATAGATGTTTGGTCCCCCATCTGGAGGACTTCATCAGTCTATGGCCTGCCAACCAGATCTGAGGGTTGCTCTGGATGATCCAGATCTAGGTGGCAGGCCGCAGACTGATGAAGTCCTCCGGATGGGAGACGAAACGTTTCTTGACTTAAAGAAACTGGTCAAGATAACATGAGTTAATCGTTTTTGTTGCTATCTACCTGGATGACAAATATTTTTCTGGGTGGAGTTTGTAGGTTCTCTCCATGCATGCGTGGGTTTTCTCCAGGTACTCCGGTTTCCTCCCACAGACCAAAAACATTCATGCTAGGCTGACTGGTAACTCTATGTGGCCCTGTAATGGACTTGGACCTGTCATGGGTGTACCCCGCCTCTCACAGTGATTGCTGGATATTTGGCACCGGTGACCCCCGCAACCCAAAAAGGAAAAAGTGGGTAAAGATAACAGATGGATGGAAAGACACAGAGAGCATGAAGTCTAGAAGTAGGTTAAACCATAAATGTTTCTTTTCAATTGTGATCACATTCTTTTAAAAGCAGAACTAGACCTTTGAAAGCGGTTTGGTGTTGTAGGTTTCGGTTCATACCATATCATACCACTTTATTTACAAAGCACTTAAAAACAGCAACAAGGCCAACCACAGTGCTGTACAGCAAAAACAAAAACAAGCAAAGGACACAAGATAACATACATATATTAAAATAGGTAAAGATAATAACTAAATGACTATAATCTTATAGAATACAGACAAGTTAAAATCAACTCACAGTGTCAAAAGCCAGGGAATAAAAACAAGTTTTTAAACAAGACTTAAAAACAGTAAGAGAGGGAGACTGCCTGACATGCAGTGGTAACTCATTCCACAGTCTTGGACCTGCAACAGAGAAGGCCCTGTCACCCCTGAGCTTTTTTTTTTCATTCAACCTTTATTTTGCTTATTAGCTTGAAACAAGTGCAGGAACCAATAAAGCTTCTAGTCTGCTGACCTGAGAGAGCACTGTGGGACATATGGCTGCAGCAGATCAGTGAGACAGGAGGGGGCAGAACTGTTCAGAGATTTAAAAACATACAGAAGGATTTTAAAATGAATTCAAAAAAGTGAACCAGGAGCCAATGAAGGGAGGCCAAAACTGGAGTAATGTGCTCTTTTTTGCCTGTACCAGTTAAAAATCCAGCTTTTGCATTTTGGACCAATTGTGCAATGGAGGTCTGATTCCAAAAAGAAGCGTGTTGCGGTAATCAAGCCTGGATGATATGAAAACATGTTTTACTGTTTCAAGATTACTTTTGGAAAATATGGGCTTCTATTTAGACAGTCAGTTCAGACTGAGATACTTTGAGGAAGGATGTATTTATTTTTCCCGTTTGGTGTCTTGTATAACTTACTTTATATTTTAACGTTGCACCATTGGTTGACCTTATTATTAACCTTGCTGTAAATATCAGGAAATGCACAGTTTCTTGTAATGTGTCATTCGTAGATTTTTCTCATCTGGTTTGGAGAACTTTGGACATAAATTAAAGAGCGTGTTTGCTTTTCTGACACGATTTTCATTAATTTCTGAATTAAATTAAAATAATTCCTCAGTGATATATGTTTTCATGGAAACGCTCTGTAACAAAACAGCAAAACAAGAATAAATGTATACAGTTCTGGGGTATAATTATTTGGAAAAGGGCTGCATCAACAAGTAAGTCTAATTAAAATCTGGCATTACAGTTAGAGATGTTTTTTAAATGTATTTATTTTTTGAAATCGTGACTTGGACTACAAAGCGAATCAGTACCTCAGGTCCATGTTTGCTCTTGACAGAAGCCACACAAGCTTGAGATTCCAAGAAACGAAATCTGTCAAGTTAATATAAGTCTGTATTGAAGTACCTTTTGGGCACAATTGCATAAAGCTATAGATTTTTTAAATTATTATGTGCAGCCAAACTCTGCAAGCAAATAGTGTGAAGATATCTGCTCTCAGAATGAAGTATCATGCATATTTCTACATTTTCAAGGTTGAAAGTCAGCCTACAAAGATTTTTCATTATTTAAATAAAACCTAGTATTGTCCTTCAGTTCCTGAAACAGTGTAGATATGGTAGTAAAGCATTTTACAATATGCTGTGAACATTTTGGAAGTGAAGCAGGTGCAGGCTGAAGTGCATCCAGAGTTTTGCAACTGAAACCTTAAACAAAATTATATTATTTTATTTTATCCTATTTGGACAATACAGAGGCACAGAGGTTAGAGAAGGAAAGCCTGTGATTGTAAGGTCGCCGGTCCAACCCCCACGACCAACAACAACAAAATGTGGGTGGGAAAGATCAAGTACCCACACCTGCCTCCACCTTCATTTGCCCCACTATGTGCTCTTGAGCAAGGCTCTTATCCCCACCGTCTGCTCCCTTGGGCGCAGCTCTTTGCTCCACACAGAGGGCTGTGGTAGCTCGGTGGTCTGTGGTTGCATCAGGAAGGGCCTCTGACGTAAAAACAATTGACATGTCTTTGTGTGAGTTAGTTCGTTGTGGTGACCCCTGAAGAAGGGAGCAGCCAAAAGAAAAAAATATTCAGATAATACTGTCCTTTATATAATAATGTTTTACATCACTTTGGATATAACTGTATCATTAACTTTAGCAGTAACTTTATAAAATTTTGTAACAAAGAAAAAAAAAATTTATTTGTCTGAGGGAGGTGTATTAAAAATACATTTCAACTGAAAAATCAATGGGTCTGAAGTCATTTCACTTTGTTTTGGAGGAAGTTGTAAAAAGAACGTGAAACATTCAGACCTATTTGAAAAAGTCAAATAGTTTCAACTAAACTAAATGATGATGCAAACAAATAATGAATACCGACTATCTCTTTGAATAAATTCATGTGAGAATGGGAAAGAGACAACCAGACAGAATCAGCAATGAGATGCTGTGACTAAAATTTGTTTGTGTGCTTTCACTGGTTCTTATCCAGAATAAATTCAGTATTCCATCCATCCATCCATTATCTTTTACCCGCTTCTTCCATTTTGGGTCACGGGGGTCGCAGGTGCCCATGTCCAGCAATCAATGTGTGAGGGGCGGGGTACACCCTGGACGGGTCGCAAGTCCATCACAGGGCCACATAGAGACAAATGAGACAAACAAACATTTACTCTCTCACTCACACCTAGGGACAATTTAGAGTTACCAATCAGCCTAACATGCATGTTTTTGGTCTGTGGGAGGAAACTGGAGTACCCAAAGAAACCCACGCAAACACCACACAGAAAGAACCCAGGTCCAAACTGGGGATTGAACCAGGACCTTCTTGCTCATTGCTAATCACCAAGTCAAGCCAAGTCAAGTCAAATTTATTTGTATAGCGCATTTAAAACAGGAACTGTTACCAAAGTGCATTGACAAAAAAAAAGACATACATGTGGAGACTAGGCTGCAGCCATTTGAGAGGCGCCATCTTTTTAGATAAGGAAAGTGACAACATGAGGAAAGGGGAGATCAGAAACGACCTCAGCACAAAAAGCAACATAAATAGACAAAAGATTTATAAAACATGCCAGTGGAGGCATTCAGTTTGAGGGATGGTCGTACGTAGCATAGTACAGTCCAGAGAACCTCCCTCCCCCCTGCCATAGTCCTGATAAGAGATGTTTGTTTATCAGCTCGCTCGGTTGAGCTCTGTCTCAGGTCCACGACCTTGAGGAAGTGAGGAGGTGGGAAGGGGGACAGAGCATCTTTTTTTTTCCATAACATCCAAGAAGGAATTGAGATAGTCCACTTTACAAGGCCAGGTCCAGATTCAGATATAAACATTGTTTTGGGTCAGGCTGAACTTGTAAATTTACGTGTCTGCCTTACAGTCTCGCTAGTACATTCTCTCATGGCGACCCCAAACAGCCAGATTAGATTATTTATGTCGAAGTCGAGCTTACAACTTCGCCAAGATTTATTCCTTCCAACTGTTCGTGACTAAGCTGCCAAAATATGATCTCAAAATTAAAGAAATGTATGTAAAATCTTCAAATTAAACACAGGGATTGTTTTAGTATGGTAGTATTTTTGCACTGAAAATATAATAATAATAATAATTCTTTCGGCTTCTCCCTTCTTCAGGGGTCGCCACAGCAAACTAAGTTGCACGAAGATTTGGCGATTATTTTTACGCTGGATGCCCTTCCTGACACAACCACAGAGTAACCACAGCTCTCTGTTTGGAGCAGAGAGCTGCTATCTAGGGCACCCGAGGGAGCAGATGGTGGGGTTAGGGGTCTTGCTCAAGGGCACCAGAGTGGGGCAAATGAGGGTGGAGGCTAGAGAAAGAAATAGTATCAAATGAAAACTATTCAATTCCAGCAAATCATTTAAGGAAATGAGGTCAATATGTCCACCAGCAGTCCAAGCCCATGGCAGCACAACAAGCCAACCCCAACTAATAATAATAATCATTATTATTATTATTGTTTTTTAATGAGAGGAAAACTTTAAAGCAACATCTCCCCTTCCCCATATTGAAGATGCTTGATTTGGTCTAACAAGTGTCCAAGTTTGTAGTTTATTTTTTATTTTATTTTATATTAGTTTCTTTTAATTTGCTTGTTTTGTTTTTAGCATTATTTGAAGACAAAGTTGTTGTTGTTTTTTTCTAGCAAGACTGCCAAGATTGATTCAGCTTTTAGATTCAACCTGATAGCTGCAACTTTAAAATGTAACGTTTATTGATCTGTTTATGAGTTTTAGAAACGTGAAGTCAAATTTTAATTGTGTTTTAACAACATAAAAAGCAAGAAAAAAAAATTGACATAACCTTAAATTGTGTTTGTCGTGTGTTTCGTAATATTTTATTTGACTTGCTTGTAAAAGTATTTGCTATATGCATGTAAATGTTGTTTTTGAAGGAAGAAAAGCCTTTTGGTCACCACCGGTGAGACGTAATGTTTATCTTCACATAAACGTGTGTCTGCTTTTACTTAAATTCATGGAAGGCAACACAGGAAAAACAAGCTTTTGATGTTTAAATTACATCGCCACTCTGATAAAAGCCAACACTTTTATCTGTGGGAGCAATCTGAACTTTTACAACACACTCTGGTAAGGGTGGACACTGAAACATGCTGAAGCCAAGGGAAGTGATTCTAGATTATCTCCAATGCATCCCCTTTTGTGATTTGTATTCACAAGAATACAGCAAGCTGTCACAACTCAGATGAATAACATTTACATGTAAATGTGGTTCTCACTCCTCTCCTGCATGCTTGGGACATTTGTTTACAACACACAGAAAGAAATCAGTCATGATATTATTCAGAATAACTAGATTTTATTCTAGAAATGAAGGAACAGGCTGCATCCTAGCTCAATTTCTGCTAGAGGAGCCGGAATTGTCTCTGTGTGACCGTAGTGGACATTTATACTGCACATGGATTCAAAATGAAAGATCAGCTAAGCAGAAAATAATGTTAATGTATACATGGCACAAATCCATAATCTGAAAATATTGCAAATGTCATGTTTTAAGTATCATAATAATGCAATTATTTCCTACAGATTTCAATTTGAAAGCTCCATCTTCTCTTGCTTTTCAGATGAGCAGCTGCTATAAGGGAACTACTTCCTGCAGCTCCAACTTCAACATGTAAATTATTGAATTGATTTTAGGGCTATTATGTCAATCAATACTTGTGATGATATTGACTCAGTATGGCCAAGAGGTCACTAGGAGGGACAACAGAATTCCAGCTATATAATTCTGTTGAAACTCTGTTATTTTACCCAGATAAATCTTATGGTTAGTGATGGACGAGCCAACTACTCTCCAGGATCCTAGTCATTTATCTTAAATCACCAAAGAGAGCAGGCTGTTTTGGCTCTCGTCATCACTTAGTATTTCTTGTGAGATCATCACCATCACCGACATTTACACCTCTAGATGCAGGAAGAGGGCCACCTGCATCATGAAGGACCCCACTCACCCAGCACACACACTTTTTGCCCCACTCCCCTCAGGAAGGAGGTTAAGGAGCATTAAGTGTAGAACCACTAGACTGAGGAACAGCTTCTACCCTGAGGCTGTTAGACTCATGAATCTCTAACTAGAATAATCACTGTGTAAAACCATATCATGTTGCTGCTGATCTGTTTCATGTTGCTGCTGATCTGTTTCAATGTTGATGTGTTCATGCGTGCACATCTGCTCACAGACTCATGTTCATGTTTGTGCTGATGTTCAATGTTTTTATGTTATGAGTGCTTAGTGTATATTTAGTTGATGTTTTTCTTAGTTCATATCTTAGATGTTATTACTGTTTTTCTTATACATTTTATTGTTGGATGTAACTGGGACCTTGTGTACATAATTTCGCTCCACCATATGTACCACATGTGGTGCGAATGACAATAAAGAATCTCTGACTCTCTGACTCTGACTCTGAGATGTTTGAGAGCTGAACAAGAGTGAGCTGAGCCAAATGATCTGGATCACATCAATGATCAGTAAAATTAACCACAATTCCTAACACTGATTATGACTGCATGTACAGTAGGCCAAAAAGTTTTGAATTTAATAGACGACAACAACTAAAACAAACATTGAAACTAAATAACTGTAATAAATGTAGTACAATAACATATTTCTTTGTCGGTATAACTTCCAGCATGTCACAGATGACTTTTCCGTAATGTACTTACGATTAAGCTGACAGATGCTACAATGATGGACTTAAAAAAGAAGAAGAAAAAAAAACTTTGGTCAGAATAAATATCCAAATTTCAAACAATAAATCCATCCATCCATTATCTTTAGCCGCTTCTCCCTTTTGGGGTCGTGGGGGTCACTGGTGGCCATTTTCAGCTATCACTGTGCGAGAGGTGGGGGACACCCTGGACAGGTCTCCAGTTCATCACAGGGACACATCAGCCTCTTTTCCATAGGTCCTGCTCGGCTCTTATTGACCGTTATTGGGCCGGTACAGGTCAGATTGCTTCATTTTCTGTTTCCACAGTGCCCATTAGTGCCCCTTTAGTGGGCGGATCATTATTATAAATGCACCCAACACCTCTTTAAAAACCTTCTCGTTACGTTTCGCTCCATCTAGCTCGCTCTGAACTTTTTGCTGGCCGGCAAACGCAAAAACACCTGAACTTCAGCGTTTGACCACAGTTGTGACATTATTGTTTGTTCATACCTTCAAAATACTCCAAAATACACTCCTCCGGATTTGAGTTTTTTCTAATGGCGGGTTTAAAAGAAACTAGCGGATCGGTTTACAGTGGAAGTTTCTGAAACTCTGCCTTCCGACCAATGACTCCGCCCCCTGACCAATCAGTAGCCGACAGTGAGCTGACGTCACGTTTTAGGGTTCTGCTTGGCCAAGATACAGATGAAATGTAGTTCTCATTTTGTACATCCTGAGCATTTAACATTAAATAACCTCCATACCATTTTTTTACCGTCACTTTTGTTTTGCTTTTTAAAAGGAATTAAAACTAGTGACTTTGTTTTGTTTATTACAAATTGTTCCATGATTTGCCAATGCTAATATGCCTTTTTTATAATATGCATTTATTTAATTAATGTCTCACCTATGATTTGGATGTTTATGTAGCTGGATGTCATCGTTTAAAGCCAAATGTGTCTTTATTGTACTAAATACTTGTTAAAAACGTGTATTTTGTGCACCTGTCCTACAAGTATTCATTCACCCTTTTCCATTTTATTTTATTTTATTTTTTTCAAACTTGCTGCACCTTAATGAAGGCACATTATGTTTTATAACTCTGCAACATCTGGTAGCCACAAATTAGAACTAGAAGGGTTTCACTTCCAGATTGTGTGCAGTGTCAAATTCATGTCTGAAAAAGCCATTTAGTTTGTAAATAGACACGTGGACCTTGATGGTCATGCACTGAAAGGATGCATTTCCTTCCTGTTATTCAGAAGCTAAACACTTTCATTGATTTCCACGCTGCAAACATGAGCAACCAACCTAAACAGCCTGTGCGGCGGCAGACTTACCGATCAATGCTGATGGCACAAAGATTGAGAATGCTCGCTGTGCACATCATCACATCGAGAGTGACAAAGATGTCACAGTGGATCTTGCTAAAGCGCCACTCCCCCACAACCTAGAGAAGAAAAACATGAACAAATTGCAGTTTACAGCCAATGACAACAAAACAAAGCCACTACACTTGCCTGGCGGAGACAGCTTCTTGACAGGAATATTATGTCTCGCACTTGAACAAAACACAACTCTGTCAAGCATTTCTGTATATTTTGTCATATCGTTTCCACACTGGTAACACAGGAAGAGGCACAAAAAGTAACTTTAGGGTAAAAAAAAAAAAGTCTATATGGACAACAAACCACACATTTGTATTGAACATGATGGCAAAATATTTATCATCTTCTGAGATGAAAGGTGGGTGATAATGTAATTGTTTAAGTATTTGTGTGGTTCTTTGTCAAACTAAATTTAACATGAACCACTAGATAGACTAGATCAGGGGTTCTCAAACCTTTTGGGTTCAGGGACCCCTTACAGGGGAGACAAAGTTTCAGGGACCCCCTCACAACCCTCATGTTTATTAAATAATTTTCTTCAATTTGTCTCTTTACTGCAATGGAAATATTTGTGTAACATAAATACTTAAGACTTGTTCTTTAGTAGTTTTAATACAATTTTCATACTTTTAAACATGGGGTATTTTTCATTCAAGACACACTTAATTAAGAACATTTTTAATTTCAACTTCCAAAAATTACAGTTTTGAGAAAATTAACAGCATCAAAAACCACTTTAATACTGTATCTATTCACATAATGAACATGAATGTATTGCCACTTCTTTAAATTATTACAAAAAACTTTACATAAAACTGAACAGAATCATAACAGCAGTAGTCATACCAAGTAACAGGGCTTGATTTGAAAACTGATCAATGCTGGGACACAAACACTGGGTGGGTCTGTGGTGGGGATGGGGTTCTGGGGGGTCCTCTCCCCCCCAAAATTGAATAAAGTAGATGTGATTTCCTGCATTTTTGTGTATTTTAATGGGTTGTTAAACATCTACATGCTTGTAAAAAAAGAAGAAGTTTTTTTTTTGTTTGTTTTTTGCGGATCCCCAAGTTCCGGCTCGTGGACCCTCGGGAGTCCAGGGTTTGAGAGCCACTGCACTAAATCAATTTTATTACATTTCTGCCAGATAAAAGTGAAAACTAACTTTGGCCATGCCAAAAGACTTTACGCACTATTATTTTCTTCATATGTTACCTTTATTTTATTCATGATATTTTTGAAGGGGAACTGCTGTTGTTGTTTGATTGAATGACTGGCTTTTAGAAATATATTATTTTCTTTTAGGTTGTCTTGCTTATTTATTTATTCAATTCTGAAATAATAATGCATTGGACATATTGTTTGATTTTTCAAAGACGTTAGACAAAGATTTACTTTTTTTGATTGGGGGTTGTGGTTTTACTATACCTGTGCAGAAATGTTAAATATGGAGAATGATTTTAGACACTATACTAAAGGCTATATAAACTAACAAACATGCTGAATAACTATTATGAACTAATATGCTCGCTGTGGCGACCCCTGAACAAAGGAGCAGCCGCAAGGGAATACATACAAAAAATAAAAAATATTCTGAGACTTTCTCCAACACCAAAATAATCTCATAAAAAACTTAAGACTTGTCGTAAGAAAAGAAAAATCACAGTAAACTAGCTTTTTTAGCCAAGAAAAATATATATATAAATATATATATATATATATATTTTTTTTTTTTGATATATATATATATATATAAATATATATATATATATATATATATCAAAGTTATAGGCTCAAACCTCCTGCATTTTTGTCCTGAGCTAAACAGCCAAAGGAGCCCAGTGAGCTCAGCAGCAGATTCTTTTTGCTGTGTCTGAGTTGTGTCTAATCATGTGCTGTGAGCAAATGAGCTGAATATTGGGTCAGACTGTGTTTGATTTATTATTAATGTAATATGTAATGGAATGAGCTCAGCCAGTTGGTGCCTGGTACACACTGAAATTAAAAACGCATTGTTTCATTTATGTAGAGACAAACACACAAGTTCAAATTATTAAATTACCTTCTTCGTCATACTAAATATTGTACCTCATTGCTGTACCCTATGGATGTACATTCACACCTGAAGAAATCTTTGTAGTTTGGCAAAGCATTAAACACGAATCAGTAATGCTCTGATCGCACTAAGTTTTAGCTTCTTCCAAAAGCTGTTTGGAACATTACGGAGGTGTTTGTGTCCAAGCAGCTCCTGTCTCCCTGTAGTTGACTATTTTTAGTTCCCAGACTTGTCTTCATAAAATTATGCTCCATCATTTATGATATGACTGGTGACATTATACTACAGCGACTACAGAACAATATGAACAATTAATCCTGTCCCCCCCCCCACACACACACCCAAGCTCTCCTCTATTCTCTTCCTCTGCGTGCATCGTTACAACCCTTTGCACCTGACTTCAGCCACTCTGCCTCTGGAAACAAGAATTTTGTTCTTTGTTCTTTATTTCTGATGTATTGCCTGTCAGCGTGCGTACTTCTCAAAAGTTCCTCCAGTGCAACATCAATGCTATCGTCCAAAACAACTTTGATATTTAAAAGTCAAGAAGCTCAAAAGAGCTGAAAACTTTCATGGATCTTCAAGGTTACCCAACGCAGTTACAGAAATATCTGTGCAGGAAAAACACGTTTAAATTATATTAAACTGCTTTTTACAGCATGTTGCTCTAAGCAATTGAATTCTAGCAAGTGTGCGATTCCAAAAGTACTTTTTTTTTAAACAGATGACAAAAGGATGTAAAACATTTAAATTCAAAGTTTAGCAGTCTCCTAATTTGATTTGGAAAAATTATGACATATTGAAAATGCAAAGGAATAGTTTTAGAAAATGAACGCATGAAACCAATATTAATTCAATAACTCAGGCTGTTTTTTAGAAACAATTGGTTTTCTTTTTTTTTTTTTTTACTGGTTAGGTCAAAAGTTCAAACTATTAAAATAGCTTAATTGTGTGAATGCTTGTTAAGCATTCACACTATTGTGATCCTGTTTATATTTATTATTAATATTTAGCCTTTTCTGCCATTGTTTTCTCATTGAAAATTGAGCTGATTTTACATATTCCGAATCTTATGATCTGTTTATAACCTTTTACTGCTCCTTTCACCATGTGTTCTGGTTAAACTTGTTTCAGCTTCCTTATGCAATAATAATAAT